CCACAGCTCTCCTCCAGACAGAACCGGGTCCAGCTGGGATCTCAGCAACATGTCAGCCTCTGTGTGCAGCTCAGCAGGATTTCCTCACAGCTAAAGAGTCACAAAGCAGCTTTCAGGGACCACAGCATCCAGCTGAGGTACCAGCTGGACCCGCTGCAAGGAATCATGGGTAAATATCAGCTGGACCCACTGCAAGGAATCATGGGTAAATACCAGCTGGACCCACTGAATCATGGGTAAATACCAGCAGGACCTGCTGCAAGGAATCATGGGTAAATACCAGCTGGACCCACTGCAAGGAATCATGGGTAAATACCAGCTGGACCCGCTGCAAGGAATCATGGGTAAACAGCTGCTTCTATAGGGGGAGAAAGCCCCCCTCACTCAGCGAGGCCTGAAACATATTAGTCAATTGATCTGTCTCACAATAGAAATTTTATATAAAGAGGCACAAAAATGCAACATTTTTACATTTAGTTTCAGTTGTAAGAAACTAAATGTAATAGTTTCTTACAACTGATATAAAATATTTATTATTTTTGCTCCATTTAAAGGTATTATTAAGTTTTTTAGGGATGCACCGATTGCAGATTTCTAGCCGATCGCCAATCTTTAATAGCCTGACCTCCTGATTCTGATTTCAGCCTAAACAATTTCTTTTGTTGAGTTGGCAACTGGTTCTGGATCAGTCAGTCTGGATCTGGACGCAGTTTTCCAGCAGAGCTTTGAGAGACAAAGAGTTTCTTCTTGCTGTAAGAAGCAACAAGAGGAAAACCTGGAAAAGACAAAACTCAGTGAGGAGGAAGAGAGAAAATCTGTGGACTGCATAAAGCCGGTTCTGATCCACGAAAAGAAAAACATGTTTCTGCTGATCCTCAGACTGCTGAGGGACGGAGTGATGTGATTCACTTTCTGCTTATTTCAGCAAGCAGAGAAACTAATTTACAATGTTTCTGTTCTTCTTCTTTTATGTTTAAACGGCAGAGGTTTTACAGTGAGAGTTTCTGCAAGAACGCTGATGCACTGTAAAAAGTTACATTAATTTATTTAGGTTAAATTTGAAAAGGTCATTATTGCACAATCTACACTTACATCCATACCACTTTATTCTAAAGCTCATGAAATACAATATTGCAGCTGATCAACATGTTTAAAAATAAAAAACAATAATGTAAGAAAATAGAAATCAAAACATCACCAATTCAAGTAAGTAGGAGCGCAGCATTAAGACAGAGATCTTAGCTCACTCTGGGTTAAAAGCTAAAAGAAAAAAATGTATTTTTAATTTTTAATTAGTTTTAAAAAGTTGTATCATAGAGTTCAACCCTCTGATGCTTTAGTGGGTCCTTTTGACCCGGTGACATCATCTTTTTTGCAATATCTTTGTAGTGATGTTTTCATCACTTCATATTCCAGATATTCTTCAAAAAATGTTACTGATATCATACAATAAATTTTTGATTTACCTTATATACATTTTAAGAAATAGCATGTTTTATATTAGTATCCCTTTGAGTGGGTCAAAAATGACCCTCATTCATTTCCTATGGAATTTAACGGGAATCTTTGTTTCTTAACAACTGTAACTGTCAGAAAAACATTTTTAGTGAACCGTAAACACTGAGTCCTAAGTGTTACCCCTAAGTAATGATATTTTACAGAGCAAGAACTCCTACAGATAAGTATTATATTTATTTTTACTTCACAAATGTGTCAATCATCAGCATCAGTGTTATTACCACAAATCAACCTATTAGTCAAATGAAATTGTGAAATGCTCACAATAAGCATTTTGTTTAACCTCTGACTAATTCCTTTCTAGATCAGTCATTTAATAAAGTAAACAGCGACCTCCAACACCGAGCGACCCGGTGGTTGAGAACCCGGGAAGCTGCGGTGGTTCATCGGTTAGAAAGGCTCCAGAGAGCCGAGAGAAACACGGAGAAACACGAAGAAACACGGAGAGACCCGGAGCGGCAACACTTACTGTTATTAACAAGTCGACAAGTTGTTTCCCTGCTGCGACTCAAAATGGACGCTGTTCTGAAGAAACCAAACTTGCTTTCAGTTTCTTTTCCACATGACGTCACGTGACTCACAGAGTGAAACAACAAAACTAGAATAAAGATTGAAAACCTTCAGTATTTAGATTTTGCTTTTAGTGAAGCAGATCCGAAGCTGAGCAGCTTTTTTAATGGATTCAGCAGAAAACCAGCAGAACAAACAAGTTTTGGTGGAGGATTGATTATTAGCGCTCACTGCCCTCTAGTGGTGAATTATCATATTCCTCATATTAATCAACCAGATCATTTGATGAAGTTATTTCACTTTATCAGTTGAATAAAATCAACTGAAATTAATGTTGTTAAAAGGTCACTGCAGGGTTAATAAATGGAAAAGAAAATAAAACTTACTTCACAAAAATCCTCCCAAAAAGATTAACTGTGGATAAATTTGAGAATCAAAGCCAGAAAAATATAAACAATAAAAATGTGCTGGTGATCAAATCCAACCCGCTGAGATCAGAGTATAGAGCAGGATGAAAATATCTAATGGAGAAAAATTAAATATAAAAGGTTTATTCAACGTAAAACATAATTAACTGAATTCACCTGTAAGTTCATTTTAGCTTGTTAATTATTTTACCAGAAAGCACGACTATGTAAAATAAAGTTTTCATAAATATTCTCCTGACTCTAAATAGGAAATTCACCATGTTGGCGAACAAACCAGTTTTTTTATTTCATCAGGAAATTGAAGTGTTATTTACAATATAAAGACGTGCTATCTATACATAAATAACACATGGTTCTATTAAATCAGCTGTCAATCCATTAGACATACCATGCTAATATTTATAATGAGAAAGATATAAACATGATCAACTTAACAGAAGTCAGAAACCAACTGCAGCTCAACAAACTCAGCTCTATATTCAGAGAGGGGTATTTCCGCCCTATGGTGGCCACAGTGGGAACTACAGTCCGGATAATGCTGCATTGTTTACATTTAATATCCACTTAATGTGGAGCTTAGAGAAAAACAAACAGTTAATCAACCGTTTTCTGACTCAGATATTATTATGACATCTTTTAATTCACTGTTTGGTGTTACAGCTGAAATGAATACAGGTTTAAATAATAAAATAAAGCTGCTGTATTAAACTCTTTACAGGATGTTTTTCTGGTCAAAGTCAGACTGAATAAAATCCTGCAGTGACTCTTATTTAACGGCATTAACAAATGCTGACTTGTACTGACTTGATAATAGTGAACATTAAAACAAAGAAAAAATAAATCTGAATATTTACATGTCAGGTTCTAGCAAAAAATGTTGCATTAATGTGCCTATATTGAATCTTGAGAAATGTACTTGAAGAATGTGTGTAGTTACAAAAGGTCTTAAAATAGCTGTTAAAATGTAAAAACTGAAAGACTGAAACAGATGAAACTCAAAAAGCATGAATGTGTTTTTTCAGAGTTGCTGTTTGTGGTTATTTGCAGAAATCCTGCTTTCAGTTTTCAGGTTGTTTTATCTCTTGGACGGATTTGATGACAAAGATTTTTGTTTTAGTATCTTGGTGATTTTTGGGGCAGATTTTATTTCTGTAACTTTATAAAAAACTAAAATTCTTCTAACTGTATTTTTCTGGGACTTTTGGTCCTAATTCTTTATAGTTACAGAATTTAAACCTTCCTTTCAGTCAGTTTCTGCTGTGAAACTGATGCGTTTTGTTGATCTAACAACAATTTGGACATTTCTGTATATTTTACATATTTTTATTACTTCAACAGAACCTCAATGTTACCGTCATCTCAAAGGGGTAATACAGTCAAGATATTTGTTAAAGGATCCAGGATTAGTTGAACATGTTGACCTAAATATGTTGCAATTTTCCCACTGACTAAAGAATTGCTGTTTGATACAAAAACTCATAATTATATTCTGAATATCATCCACAGATCAGGTTTTTTTTTTATAAAACCAGTAAACCAGAAAAGAACCGAACCCACCAGAACCTGATTCTCCTTTAATGGTCAGACCACCATCATGCATCAGCAGCAGAACATTATGACCACCAACCTGAGACTGAGGTGAATTCAGGAGAAATAAACTACAAACTACAACCACCAGGCGGCCATCTTGGATTCAAATGAACATTTATGTGAAAAACTGAAGACAGGAAGGAAAATCAGAACCTTCAACATCTGCAAACATTCATCACTGGTTTCTGAGGTTAATATTTCTGGGAGCTAAAGTCCAGATTACTGGTCTGTATGGGTCTCAGTGGTTCTGATGCTGACAGAACTACAACCTGATAGAAAATATCAGAACCAGATCAGCTGCTGAACCCAAACCAGAGAAACTGGACCCAGACAGGAAACGGCAAAGTGGAGCCACAGGTTGGATGGAAGAGACCAGAATCCAACCAGGAACAATAAACCAGTGAGATCTACTGGGAGGACTGGTGAGAGACGAGTCGCTGGAAACCAGAACCATCAACTAGCTGAGGTCACCAAGGGTCGGTTATAGAGAAGAATGGATCAGAACCAAGAAGCTCTGAGTCTGATCAGCATCTTGCAGAGAGACTGGAGAGAATGAGGAGCAGATAGAGGAAGGTGATCTTACCGAGCAGGAGGATCATCATCATCATCATCATCTTCCTCTCAGAACGAACAGAGAGGCGTCCATCGGATCCCAGCAGCAGATCACCTCTGACACCAGATCACCGTTTCTACTGGAACCAGCAGAGACACGCAGAGAGGAAGAAACTCCACTGCTGATTGGCTGATTCAGATGCTGCTGAACCGGTTCTGATCCAGTTCAGTTCTGAGGAAAGGCAGGGACCTTCAGTTTCCTCATAGTTTTGTTGGAGTTCAATCATTTTTGTCTCTGTGCTCCACCAGGTCCGTTCACTAGTTTCAAGACCCAACCAGAACCCCTCAGTGTGAATCACCCTGAGAAATAATGAGATTTGGTTTTATAAAAACAGGCTTTAATCCTGAAAATGATCAGGTGTTACAAGTCATACATGTGATCCAAATGGATCAGAAACATTTATCATTTATTTGTCACATTTGTGGGATTCTTTACATTATTTTGTCTCCAATTTCTGGAATACTCCTTTGTCCGAGATCTTACCTGGACAATCTGGATTAAATTACTGTTTTCCACTTTGTCATTATGTCAATAACTTCAGACATACAGCTTTAATTATTGCTAATTGTATGTTTTGCAACAGTATGACTTTTCGTCTTGTTGCTTTTCCCGATAAAACCACTCTATAGAAAACATGGTTAACAATAAACTACAATGAACCTCACCTCATTCTGTATATGAATGAAAGTAAAGCACTTTGGAGTCCTCTGACTTGATGAACTGCAGCATTAATGCATCATGTTATCATTTCATATTAAATCATCTTATTGATTTGCACATAACATGAGGTAAACTTTCTAAATATTGACAGATTACAACGGGTTTCTTGACTTTCCACACATCCAATTGCGAAACATATTCCCTGTGTTCAAGACTGACTGATTCTGTGGAATAGAAGTTATGAGCATCACTCAATTGAAGCCCACTGTCTGTCTTCCCTCAGCATAAATTTTAGTCCATGGTCTCCGTTAGAGTCGTAGTTGTCGTAGGTGGGCAGTGATGGCCAGTCTGGTTGGTAGGTGGTGGTGTTATACACAAACGCCTCCATGATGCTTCCAGGCGACAGCTTCCCCTCTTCGTCCGCCATCTTGACTTCCAGCTCCACCACAGTCCGCTGGTACATGGTGGGGATATTTTCAAAACTGTCGAGGAATTCAAGCATCTTTACGTCCACTTGGTAGATTTCCCCATGGACTCTGTTGCCTTGGCCTGGGAGGTTGAGGAGGAAGGGGATGTTGTACTTGGTAGCGATCACCAGTGGATACTTCTGAATGGTGACGGCGGTACAGAGGAACTCGGCCTTTCCGTAACGGCTGTCTGTCATGTAGAAGTAATTGGGTTGGCCCCTCTTTAGGGAGCCGTAAACAAAAACACGATGCATGAAGACTGAAGGCACCTGGGAAATGAAAAAAGAGGCAAATTGGTTTGCTTCTGTTTGGCTACATTTATAACAAATAGTTGAAAAGAGTATCCTGCAGAAACACTGATAAATCTTATTCTTAATAATCAACAGTGTCAAAAGCCTCCAATAAAAATTGCTGTACACAGCGGCTTGCTGTCAATAAAAATATTTATTACTTTGCAGGGCAGCTCTATAAAGACTAAAACCTTGATAAGTTTTTTTTTTTTACGATTTAGATATTCCTTTAGCTGCTCATTAGACTTAAAAACTAAACATTAACTAAACCATTAGACCATACAACCAAAATAAAACTTGTTCGAAGCAGACAAATAAATTGTTTTACTTTTTATTTGGTGTTTGTACGCTCCCTTTTGATTCTGCCCTGAGCAACTGAAGTATTTATTTTATTTGCTAAACAATTAAAAAAATAAATAAGAAAAAGAAAAAAAATTCCTTTGATATTAGGTTCAATAAAACTTTAAAAATCAAACCTTATCGAAAAATGATCCTTATATGAACATCAGAGTTGCTCTAGGTCAACATTTCTGCAGATCTTTAATTATACATCTATTAACGACACAAACAGAAACATCGGAGCAGAAACGGCTGTCATGGAGTAATAAAGCACAAACTGCTCTGTAATGACGTAATCACGTTCCACGTACTATACTAAATTCAAAAACTTAAGAAATATACCTGCAGACGTAAAACTGGGTCAGTGATCTTTGCAGATCGAGAAGAACCGGTTAGAGTTCGGGTCATGTGGAGCAATCAGTTTATGTCTTTCACGCATGCGCACAAGTGATTCCGGTCTCGAAAACTGTAACGTCAGCTCTGACGTAATTTTATACATTAAAGAACATTGTTTTTATTTTACTAAACAATAAGACAGAAATAAATAACTTTAAATATTCTTTACTTCTGATAAATTATAAATTTTCATTACTGATTTCTAATGTAGGAAATAGTCAGAATATGATGGGGAAAAAAACATTTTCTTCAGTGAAAAGACAAACAAGGTAATTTCTTTAATAGGCCACACATATGAATACCAGAGGTTCTCAGATGGAGGGTTATGAATAAAAACATGGAAACAAAGCAGTTAGGCTTCTGCAATTTACACAGCTGGCTCCATTAAAATCCACTTAGCAGCACTGAGATATGGCAACTTTAATACGCTTCCAACAGAATTATGGCACAGGTTTTAAATCAGTTCTTCCAGATCCAGAGCCAACTTTACTCATTACTGTTCTTTCTCTGACGTCTGAAGGACAAATAAAGGTCACGCCTTTATTTGGTGCAGAAGATGGATGAAACCAGAAAAACAACAGATTCTTCATTTGAAATGTGCCCCTTCAGAGTATTTTATTGTTGAAATGAGCTGATCCAAGAGGCTAAAGTGCATCTGCATGTTTTATTTTCCAAATCAAGATGGCTGATAGTAAATCTGCCAGGAACGCTGCCTGCTGACTCAGCCTGCAAATCCACTGAGATCTAATAAACTTCCAGCTTCTGCATTAGGGCAGATCTTCACAAGCTCTGGCGATGCAATAAGGAGAAATGTATCATTTTTCTGTTGGTACTGTGTCTTTATTTCTTTTAGCCACTATGAGTTCACTTTGTCAAAGTGGATAATATGAAAATGTAATGTATGAATCTGATAGAGCACATAAGAAGCAAAGTAAGGCATACAAACTGCCACTTCTGATTTTACATCACTTTAAAATTTAATTTCATTGATAATTTTCCAGCTTTCCACCTTATTTTCCTCCGTATCTTGCAGCTAAAAGTGCTGACTTCCCCATCCTACTCTCTAAACTACCATGCTATCCTTCTACTGATCATAAAATGGCAAAATAGTATCATGAAAATAATAGGAAACTATTTTTTAAAATATTTCTTCATTTATTTTTCCTCATTAACAAACCAAATCATTACTGGAGAATATTTTTTAATTTTTTATATTGTCATTTATTTTTGAATTTTTTTTACGTGAAACATTGACCCTAAGCAGAAATGGACAGCTAACGACTTCCAGAAAATCCAATATAAAACACAAAAGTAAAACATTAAATGAAATAAAAGCGATAAAGTAATAAAATAAAATACATAAAGATATAAAAACAACTTATTACCTATAATTTCCTAAATGTTTAATTGTAAATGCAAATATAAAAGTAATTTTAATGTAATATTTATTATTAAAACGACAAAAATATTACAGAAGAAATAAAGGAATCATTTAGCGTCAGCGTCAGTCGCACAAACTCGGGAGATGACGTCATCACGTCCGCAGCCTAGCAGCAGAATCTGCGGCGTAAACAAAGCGAGCAGCTATGAACTAAGTGGACGATGTTTCTTTGGTGAAATAGTGACTGTATTTCTACACTTTTTCAGCAGCTTATCTACGGAGCTCTGCTTCTTGTTACTGAGTTTTAAGACTCCCTCGTCCTTTGAGTTACAAAAACAAAATTAGCCTATTGTTTTTGCTAGCTGCGTTAGCTCTAGCTAGCCTTGAATAACGGGATTTTTGTAGACCTGGGATTCGCTTTTAGTGGAGTTGGTGTTATTTATTAAAGCTGTTTTATTATTCTCACTCATGTCGAGTAAGTCGAGGGCTGCTGAGGCTGCTGGGCATGATGAGTTAGTTTGCAATAATGTAGATGCTCGTGACTAAAAGGATCGTTCATCTGGATAGCTCGATAGCCCCCTTGGATCGATGACCAGCTAACCAGCTGCTGCGATCTGGAGGCGGATTGACATGTTTAGTTTGATGGCGAACTGCTGCAGCTGGTTGAAACGTTGGCAGGAACCTGCCAGGTGAGTTCAAGTCTTTTCTTTTTCTTTTAAAGAGACCAGAGTGATAAATAACAGAGCTTGAGGTCCAATCAGTGCAGCGCATTCACAGATTGCGTCATGGAGCGAAAGATTCCTGCAGTCTGGATCATTTCTAATGCTCTGTATAGATATTTTATTGTACAAAATTAAATGATCGCTCACTCACCGCTAATACTCCTTTAGGGGAAGAGCATATTTGCTTTAATTTAATATCACCTCATGTTTTCAGGATCACACAAACCTTTGATAACAATTGAGTTTTTCATTTGTTTCTTATTTTTGGTGTACAACAAATGTAAACAATCCTGTAAATTAAGCTTTTTATACTGTATGCAATAGTAGATATGAATAATGAACTGTAGCTGATGAAGTTTGCAGACATCATCAGCTGGTAAATTAACCATTCCAGTTCAATTAAGATATTATTAAAAAACAATCCAGATTTGTCCTGTTTGTTTAGAGGTAATTAATTTTTATCTCTTTCTTATTGAAATTTAAACTGTAATAAATGCAGCAAGATATTATGATTACACTTTTTATTTTCTTATCATCAATCTGTCCACACTTCTTTATCAGACTAACACAAGTGGCAAAAATGGTAAAATATATAATAAATTGGTGTAAGAGTTTATGTTTTCCTATTTATTTACGTTCGAGATCAAAGTCAGAAATGTGTAAAAGCTTTTTGATTAACTTGTACATATGCTGATAATTCAACAACATATACCCATTTATTTATGTATATATACACATTAAGGGCAGCATAAAAGTTTTTTACAAAATTTAAAATATTAGGAAAAAAACTGAAAGTCTGCAACATAACAAAAAATCCAACTAAATCAACTAAATCATGAGCTGTAGAAAGTTAATCATAAAAAAGTCCAGCTAAGAAATGTTTGTTTGAAAGAATTAATGCATAGATTCACAAATAAAGAATAAAAAGTGCCATAACATCCAATACAACAAAATCAATATGTTTTTTTTTTAATAAATTGATTTAAAATCAGCAGCTGGAGATAGGCACCAGCAACTCCCGACCCTACTAAGGACAAGAGAGAACAGATAATGGATGGATGGATTTAAGATCAATATGAAGCTAACAAAACTCTCTTTCTAATTATTTTATTACAGGAACTAGTTGAGAAGTTGATGCTAAGACATAAATCTGTCATGTTTTTGGCTTTCTGCATCATACTTGTTAGTGTCACATATTTCACCAGACAGAAGCCAGTAATCAATAGTACTTTACTCACGTGATGACTGAAACATCTGATCCTTAAGACTTAGTCAGAAATCCCAGACTAATCCCGCAGCCAGGTTGCTTCAGTGGGTCTCCATACTGCTGCTGCTGGTTTCCAGCAGCGACAACGGTAGCGTTATGGGTTAGCGGACGGCGTCAGCTCCTGGACTGATGAATGCCAGCTGGCTGCAGAGGACGGTTGCATGGATTGTGCGTTTGATGTCTTTTAGACGCAGATGTCAAAGTTAAGTGTACGGATAGACATGGAGGCGGGTTGCTGATCACTACGGCGATGTTCTGACTGCTTAGAGATTTCACAACTTTGTTTTGGTTTGTGATGGAAAACCTGGAAGGTTACTGTCGCTTTAAAAAGCTGCTGCATTTCTCAACTTCCTGTGTGAATTGTTTGAGTAACAAGTAATACATCAAAATTGATTAATATGCTAACATTTAGTTGAAAACAGGTTAATATTTCTAATTTTCATTTCATTTTTGTTGCTACAGTGATAGCACTGCTTCTCTTGTTTTATGATATTCTCCTTTTTTAAATACCTAAATAGCCTCAAAGTTTGAATGCAAAATGGCTAAAAATATTTTATATTATCTCTTCGCTGAGCTAAAAAAAATATCAGTTTTAAATATCTTCTTAGTTGAAAAGTTTGACAGAAAAAGACTGAAAATATTTAATGTTAATCCTTTTAATCAGCTAATAATAAAACATGTTCTCTCTCTTTTTGTAAATTCTTACTTATCTGTAAAGTTTGACAGCAAAATTGAAAAAATATTGAATATTATAACTTTACTTTGCTTAGCTGCAAGATTTTACTGAAAAATAGCTACTTATTATAATCTCTTTAATTAGTTCAAAATATCTCATGGTTTAATTCCTTGATTGGTTGCAAAGTTTGACATCAAATTAGCTAAAGATATTTCATATTATCTCCTTAATCAGCTTAAACCTTTGGAACAGTGATGCAGCCTCATGCTGTGTCATCAGTGTTATGACTGCTGCTGACGCTCTCTAGCTTATCAAAAGCATCATAATACCAGGTGGTTCTGCAGGCTGCCTCTGTTCAGCAGTAGCAGTGATGACTTTATGTTCTTTGTTCCTCACAGGAAGGTGACCCTGGTGATGGTGGGTCTGGATAACGCGGGGAAGACGGCAGCAGTGCGAGGAATCCAGGGAGGTTGGTTTCCTCAGAGTTTTAAGCCATGAATGAAGCTGCAAGACAGATTTTGCGTCATTTGAGTTTCCCTGCAGAGAATCCACAGGACGTGGCTCCCACTGTGGGCTTCTCCAAGGTGGACCTGAAGCAGGGGAAGTTCGAGGTGACCATCTTTGACCTGGGAGGCGGGAAGCGGATCCGCGACATCTGGAAGAACTACTACTCGGAGTCCCACGGCGTGGTGTTCGTGGTGGACTCCAGTGACGTGCAGCGCATCCAGGAGACGAAGGAGACCATGGCGCAGGTCCTGCAGCACCCGCGCATCGCTGGAAAACCAGTCCTGGTGTAAGTCCAGATTAAATTCTGAATTTAGTTTTCCTTCCAGCTGAGTCATTTCTAAACTTCCTCTCTGCTCGCAGACTTGCTAACAAACAAGATCTGGAGGGGGCGCTGGCGGAGGCCGACATCATCGAGAACCTGTCGCTGGAGAAACTCGTTAACGAGAACAAGTGTCTGTGTCAGATTGTGAGTCTTTCAGTCAAACAGGAGTTTACTGAAGTAAAAGTAAAAAGTACAGTGTAGTAAAAATAGTAAAAGTAATTAAAAGGAGTTACTAGTTACATTTACTTAGTTTTGTTTACTTGACAAACGTTTTGAGTTGAGGAGTATTTTTACTATGCTGTAGTTTCTGCTCTTACTTGAGTAAATTTCTGGATTTTCTGAATGAAAAACAAACATGTTTCAACCAAAAATTGACCACACACCTGCAGTTTCTGTCAAAGTTTTGTAAATTTTTTATTGATTTGGAAGATTTTTCTTTTGCCTGATTTTTAATTGTCCTACTTAGAAATTATTGAAATTATTGTCATTTTAAAATACCAAAAGTTTCACTTGACTTTATATTTTGATCCATCTGATTATGTAATTTTTAAATGTTAAATGATAATTTGTACTCAGTAGACTTTTTTTACCAAATATTTTTTTACTCCTACATGATCTTGGCTGCTTTTACTCAAGTAAAATATATTGAAGTAGTGCAACGCTTACTTCAATATAATTTTGTACATTACTGTAGATTAGCTTTAGCTAACCCAGGCTAACTGTTAGGTTTTCTAAATTGAAAGTTTGAAACCTGGTTTTAAACCCATGTCTCGGCTCCAGGAACCGTGCTCCGCCATCTTAGGATGTGGAAAAAAGGTGGACAAGTCCATCAAGAAGGGCCTGACATGGCTCCTCAGCAACATCGCCAAAGATTACGAGGCGATTTCTGAGCGCGTGCAGAAGGACACGGCGGAGCAGCGCGCGCTGGAGGAGCAGGACAAGAAGGAGAGAGCAGAGAGAGTGAGGCGGATACGAGAGGAGAGGTGAGGACACAACGGAGGACAGGAGGACGACTGAAAACCAGAAACTAAGATGTTTATTCTGTCCATAGGGACCGGCTGGAGCGCGAGGAAGCAGAGCGAGAAGGACGGCCCGTCCAGGAGGACGAAACTGACGACGGGAGCATGCAGAGCCCCTTCCAACCCATCGAAAATTTAATCACCAAGGTTTATGATCACCGCTTAACACTACCATCGCTTCAATAAGCAAAAAAAATAAAACATTTCCTTCGCCAGAGAGAAGAGACGGAGAGGAAGGCGCAGCTAGAGTTAGGAGACAGGAGCAATGGTCTGAAGGAGAAAGAGGAAGAGGAGGATGAGGAGGACAACGCTGGAGAGCCAAACAACAGGAGGCAAACAGCAGAAAACACGACGCCTGGTGAGTTCCTGTTCTCTCTAACGAGATAATGAGACAATTAATCGGACGAGGAGGAGTGTCATATAACAATTTTATCTTATGATAAATCGTTCCAGAAATTATGTGACAAATGATAATGTGGCATAATAATGCAAGAACACATTCTCAAAAATCAATGAACTTTAAATTCTAATCAACATTTAAAACTTTAATTGGAAGATATTTTAAATGTCCAAAATAAACAAGCAAAACAACAAGTAAAATTTAAAAATACAGCGTCATAGAGTTACTGAAGCAATGTGCCAGCAGTCAACACCAGCCTGTCGGTCCCAGCAGGCGAGCACAGCAAGAAGAAGACCAGCAAACTGCATCTGAAGAGGAAGCACCGGGTCGACCCTCTGAGGGCCGACGACGGCCCCACAGAGAGCCCAACGCCGCCACCGCCACCACCACCTGGTCAGTATGATGGTGAACACTGGATACTTACTTATGTCCATCTTTTCTTCCTTCTTTCTTTCTTATCCATATTTTCTTCCTCATTGTTTTCAATCTGTTTCCTGTAACGTCTCTAATCTTTCTGCTCTGATTTGTAGTTCTGTAGATCAGTTGTTTCAGTGAAGGAGGACCAGCACCGCTGCTCTCTCTCTCTCTCTCTCTCTCTGTTTTTTTTCCCCTCATCACTCTGTTTTATTCGTCTCCTTCCTCCAGTGGGATGGGCCACGCCAAAAGTCTCTCGGCTGCCCAAACTCGAGCCGATCGGGGACTCTGGACATTCTGGTAAAGCTGCCTGTGATGTCATCATCACCTCATGTCGTCATCGCACTAACTCCTTCCTGGTTCCAGCTAACCTCGCATGTGTTCATGTTTAAGGCTTGCGATCAGTTTTTCCTTCTTAAATCAGCCTTTAACGCTTCACGTTTGTTTCTCCATTTTTGGAAAAATGCTTATCTATCCGTCTTAAAATGAGACAGTCCGATTCTTTCCCCTCCCGCATCTCACCAGGCATGTGCTTCACTGTTGTCGGTTGCACTAACTCATTTTCTTTCCACATCATCACCACCCCATCGCCATGCCTCCTGTGGCTCCTCGACGGATGTAGTTTAGTAACCCAGCCAAACCTTTTCTCCTGCCTTTCGCAGAGTTTTACAAGAAACCGCTCCCACCACTCGCCAACAGGCCGCGACCTAACGGTGACTCTCAAGATGTCATCTCTTAAAGCTCCTTCACTGACCGACTCACTGACTGAGGTCAGCTTTTGACCAATCACAGCTCTTTTCTGTGCTTTCTGTCCCAAGCGAGCGGGGTGTAGACCACCAAAACCACACCAATGGGACAACGGCGGGAGACAGCGGCTTGAGCTGAACAGAGGAGGAGAACGAAGCAGAGTTTCATGCTGAACTGTGCACCAAAACAAAAGATTTGTTTTCCATTATTGATCAGTATTGAAAGTTGGAAAGTTGCATCCAACAAAAACACTTCAAACTGAGAAGCAATGTAAATAAAACCTCATCTAACCTTAGCACAATAAGAAAGGACGTTCAAGTTGCTCAGTTGTTTCTTTGTTGTTACAATGCAGTTGGAAAGACTTTTTATTTCCTCTCAAATGGTGTCAAGTTTATAAAAAAAATCTTAAAACTGCGAAACCATTTCAGGAGAAATAAACTGAACTTTGTGCAGTGTTACGACCAAGAAATAATCGATCAAATACACATTTTCCTACTTTTTGCGCTAAGTTGTCTATGTGTTTGTTTTGAAGAAATATATTTGTATACTGATTGCCATTAAAAATGAACTGTCATTTATTTTTGCACTTTGAGATTCGTAGTGTAAGCTTGATGTAATAATGATGAGTGAAATGTTAGAGATGTCTTTGCTTCTCTTAGCTTTTTACATATTTATATCAGCTGGTTAAACTCCAGACAAACACTAAAATTTTCATTGCTGTTACAAGAAAAAAAAAAAAAATTCCCCAAATCTTTTTAAGATACATTTTTATACATATTTCCAGTTAGAAAATATGTAAAAAAGCTACAGGGCTTCATACTTTTTCATGCATTCTGCTGTTTACACTGTGCTTGTGTTTTTAAAGTGATATTTCTCTAATGAAATGGCTCTGATTTCTTTTTATTTCTGTTTTATAAGAGTCAGCAGGAGGAAGGAAGTAAAGAAACAAACATCACTTTAAAAACACAATATGGATTATGGATCTGTAGTGCAGTTATAATCCAATTGTTTGAAAAAAAAAGATACTTTTTATACCCTGAAATTTTATAAGAGCTCTATTAAAGAAATATTTAAAGAACTGATTAGAATCATTTGTTCATGGTGTAGTCAGATTAGAAGAGTGGTTCCTGTGAATGTGGAGTGTTTGTTTTATTTTTGGAACCTATTAGCACCCAGATCGCTTTCGGAGCATCACGACTTGGTTGTTATTCAGTACTTTCTGCTGATGAATCCGACACTGTTGGGATAGATTTGGTTGTCAGTGTTAGTCATTTTAAAACTGAAGGTAGATAAGGGGACAAAACCTAAAACTATTCTTGGATCTTAAAAATCATGAATAAAGGATATAAGGGATTTTTATTGTCATACCATTGCATATTTACAGTTATGTTACTAAACTTCTAAGCAAGTCCCAGTCTCAGAAGCCTAATCAATAAATAAGAGTAAGTAAATATATATTATTATGTATGTGAATAAGTAGGAGCTAAAAAGTGATTTGAAGCTGAAATTATCTTTGTTAAATACTTATATGAAAGCAAGAAATACCATATATAAATATTGCACGTTGGTGATAAAGTTAAAAAGTGTGGCTTTTATTTATTTATATATTATATATATTTTCACGCCACCAAACTAGCTCAAAAGAGGAAAAAAGTGATTTTTTGCAGTATCCCCAATCAGTTTCCATTGTTTTCACGTTAGCCATAGAACCGTTTCATTCTGACACAAACTGCGCATGCTCTGAGTGTAACGCATTAATTTTAACAGCGCGAGCTCCCCTCCTGCGGCGTCGCCCACTTTTTCGATGTTTTTAAACAATTAAGTTTTATCCCTGACACGAAGCGGGAATTGTTACTTTTTTGTTGTTGTTTTAAATACAAAAGACCACGACGGGAATCTTGCGGACTGCTGGTACGAAACCCGCAGCTTTACATTTATAACATTTATATTAATGTTGCTAATGCTAACTAAAAATAAGTGGCTAATCTGCTCTAACTTACTCTCTGCCTTTTCTTGTGAGTAGTGCTTGCTCTCCACAACATTAAAATGTATTTTGAGTCAAATTATGAAGAAGAACAGCGAGAGGACAGAGTTATCTGTGGCACATTGGGGGCAGGAACTGAAAAGTTTACCAGAGGAACTGTTGGATTCAGTTGGGAGGTGAGAAAATCAAGAGTTTTATTAGTAATTCCTACAGTCTGTCACCTTTCACAACACTTGTTAATGGGTGACTAAATTTAATAAATATTGTTTTCTGTTGTTCAGTAATATTATTTTTGGAATGTTACTATTAATGCCTTTATGGTGTCCTCTATTTTTGATGCCATATGGTGATGTTGCAGGAAAAAGACTACAGACTTTGGTTGAACAGCAAAGTTTTATTACATACATTAGACTTATTTTTCAGGCTTAATGACTTAATAACTAACACTATAATTATATAATTTAGTGATTATATTTTAGTGTTATTTCGCCATTATATACTAAAAAAAGTTACCTTTCTCATCCAAGAACATCCACAACATATTAATTGCTGAGATTACATTGTACTTTTAAGTATTATTTACTCATTAGTGTTGAGACAAATATTTTCAGATGTTTATTTTTTTAGATGCCATAGATTATATAATGCAGTACTTCACTTATAATCAATTGAAACATAGTCAACCCTTTGCCTTCCGCTTGATTCTCATCTCACTTTACTCCTCCGTCTGGGATTTCTCCCATTGAACTCAGTTTTTTTTGTTCAGTTGAACAATGACGTTGATTTTCTGCACCATTCTAGAACTAGTTTGGCGCAGGAAGTGAACAAATCATTCAGCATTTCCTGCTCATATTTACAACCCCATTGTAATACCTACCATCACATTAAAAATGTTACTGAACAAATTTTTCTTTCCTTTAAAAGATTTCTAATGGTCATAATTAGTTACACCTTCAAAGATGAAAGGCTTAATATCAGAGCTTAATAGCTCTGAAACAACTGATTGTGTTTTTGTTTCACTGGAGAATTAGGATGTTATATCTTGAATGCTGCACTTGAGCATAGAAATAACTAATTTACATGCTCAGAGGATGAGTAACAATGGAAAGTGAGGTTGAATTAAATGATCCGAGACCAGAGTCGATTATATTGCTTTGTGAAATTAATTTTCTTGGGTTTCTGAAAGTGTTGGACACACTCAGCGACTAAGAATGCTGAATGTCTGTAAGTTAAGTCATACAATGACTTAATGATGTTGTCTATGTAGGACATGGACCTCGTTTGGGTCGGGAGAGAGTTGCACCTGCTTTGTTTCAAAGGGAATCAGTCGAGATGGTTTGGACATCTTGAAGAAATCTTTTTGGAGATTTTGGAAGAGCTGGGGTCCTGACATACTGCCTGGAGGAAGCTTCAGGGGAGAACAAACTCCTACAGAGGGTTTTTATTTCCACACTTAGGCCCTGCAGGGAGAGTTAGCACTGCTGCAAAAAATATTGTACCTTAGTCTTACTTCATGCTAGCATTGCACTTGGCTAAAGGGAGAACTAATATGATTTACAGTTCATTTCTTCATTTGGCTCTGACACTGAGAAAAAAAATGGTTAAAAACTTAAATATTGTAGCTAAACGGAATACTGGACTTGTGCTGTAATTGATTAGTTTGTCAGCAAAAATTGTATTAATTGAAAGAGTGAATAAAAACATTTTTTTGCAATAGAAATTATCTCACTACACGTCTCGTCTTGTCGATGTTCTGGATGATGACTTCGCCACAGCCGTTCGCCGCCTGGATCTACGGGAAAGGTAAGTGTGCTCCTTAAATTTTTTTTTACTACTTCCACAAAGGAGCTACGGATCTGCTTGACAAATTCCCATAAGTTAAGTCTTTTATCACATCAAAAACTAGCTCAATTAGATAGATTTATTTATGTAATACCAATAATAATTTGGTATTACATAATGTTTGGTGATTTTTACCAAAAATTAAATTGGTGATATCATGTTCTCAATTTATTATGAGAATTTTTCTTTCCAGATTAAAAAAATATTATTTTTGGCCAAAGTTTGGTAGAAATGAGTTAAATTTACTGAGTTACATTTACTTAAGTTTATTTTAAAAATTACTTTCAGGAGTATTTTTACTATGCCGTACTTGAGATTTTATTATGAAGTATTTCTACTCTTACTTTAGTAAGATTTCTGGATTTTCTATCCTCCGAATGAAAAACAAATATGTTTTAACCATAAATTCACAGACACACACTTGGAGTTTTTGTTAAAGTTTGATAAGTTTTTTATTGATTTTGAAACATTTTATTTTCCCTGATTGTAGTATTTTTGTTACTGATATTAATTATTGTCATTTTTGTCATTAAAATGCCAACATTTCCACTTGACTTTATTTCTTGGTCCATCTGATAATGTAATTTTGAATATTAAGTGGTAAATTGATCAGTTACTCAGTACTTGAGTAGATTTTTTTATCAAATACTTTTTTACTCGAGTAACTTCTGCAGAGGTTCTTGATAATAAGTTGCACATTTTTATCTTTTCTTCACCTCCTTTTCTGATCATTTTGGGCCAAGTCGTTCTACATGAACAATGAAATTAGTTTTGCAGAAAACTCCACTGAGGCAGAACTCAATTAAATCATGTAAATGTCATATTAGTAATACATGAGATGTTCAGCGGGAGGCTTGTTTTCGCTGCATGAAACACTCTGCAGACTATTCCTGTTTAGATCAGTTTTTTAAAAGAAAGCACCATTTCACCAGCGCTCCTAAATATTTATGTTTGTAAACCACTGAGATATCTTTCATGCTGAGCAAAAATCTCCTGAACCGTTTCATCTGTTTACCCCAAATAAAACTGCAGGCGCTGCTGGAAACATAAAATGCATCACTTCCTATGCTTTGTGGCAGAGCTTTGACCTATAGCAGCGAGTGCTGAGCTGTTTTAAAACGCCAAACGTAAAAGCTTTCATGAGTGGGGAATACGCTGAATCGCTCTTGTGTTAAATCACTCGGCAGCAGCAGCAGAAGTGTCATGAACTGAGATGAAATCTTTGCCACCGGGACTTTCTCAGAAAGTGTTGCAGGCTGTGACTTTAGGTTGGTACGATCCTCCAGAGGCTGCGCTCTTTGGTCAAACATTGGGTGATTTTGCTGCTAGTGCTCACTTAAAAGCTCGTTGACTTCTTGGACATGTTTTACCACTTAAAAACAAATATGTTGTTTGTTTTTCCTTCCTTCCTTTATTTCCTATTTTTATTGCTTCTTATGTCCTTCCTTCCTCACAATTATTTTATTTACATTCCTTCCTGTGTTTATTTTTTTTCCCTCCCACATTCTTTCTTTCATTCATTGTATCCTTTCTTCCTCACACTTATCCTCTTTTATCATCTTTCCTTTGTTCCTTCCCTCATTTTTTTGTTTCCTCCTTTCTTGTCTTTTCCATTTTTATTTCCTCTGTTGTTTCTTTGCTTTCTTTCCTTCTAAGTTTTACTGCTTTTTTCTTCCTTTAACTCCTTTGTTTCTTTCTTCCTTCCTTCCCTCTCTCCTCTCTTCCTTCCTTGTTGTTTCTCCAGAGATAATTTATACTTCCTACCATAAAATCCTGGTTAAACTTTATTTTTTGTATTTAAAATGTAAATTAATCACTGAGGAATTCTGGGAAATTTAGTTTAGATGCTTTTTGAATTGAGACACAAACAGAGAGGAACATTTTAATTCTAGATGACAAACTTTCTGGATTTTCTCTTTATTTCTCTGCAGTTTAATCATATTTCTGACCTGTTGGGTTTCTAGCAGCAACTTCCTGCCTTTCCTCTGTAGTTACAGGCAGCCTGGCAGCAGATGAAACCCACACTGTTGCTCTCATGTGCCATCCCGCCTACACAAGACCTCTGCTGCATGTTGGCAGACACTTTCTTCTCTTTTTTTTTCTGTTCTGAATGTTCATTTGAACTCAGTGCTGAGCCTCCAGGTGCTGCTTTAGACCTCGATGTCATTCAGGTGTGATGCAACCTGCAGTACAGCGGCACATTCACCCAACGGCTGTAGCAAAACGTAGTTCAGTGTTCCAACTTTCTGTATTTTCTTCCATCGTTTTTTTTTTAATATTTGGGCTTTTATTCCATTTAAGCACAAGACACAACCTCTTCATTACTGCGATTTATTGAACGAGGGAGAAAACATGCTGATTTGACTCCAGATTTAGAATCTTTGGTGCCCAGCAGCGACTGGCACTCGAATTCACCTCATCACACCTTGAATAAACCCGACTGCAGCTCAAATCTACAAAACAGAAATAAGCAGAAAGACATTCAGTGTATCTGTCAAGGACGTGTGGGTAGCTGGATGCAGCAACAGCCTGTAGCCGTTAGTTACAGGTTGCTGAAAGTTTTCCATACTGTATCCCAAAGTATAATCCAGTGTCATGCTATCTTTGGGAAAGCATATTTAATTTAAAGTGCATATTTAATTTAACATTTTTAACACTCAAAGAGTAGCACGGAGTAGAGCATCATTGTAAAGTGAATTTAAAATTAAATATGGCTTTCAAATTTATGTGTACTTTAAGAATTTACAGTGTTTGTGAAAAGCAAAAATGCTTGAGACCACTTAAAAAAACACTAATAACTTCCTATTTTGATAGGTCAAACACAAAATAGGTATTAATCTGCATTAATACACACAATTAAAACCTTTTTAGTGCTATTCAGCATACATTTAAAGTAAGACAAAACTAAATTATATGTAGTTTTTCAGCTTGTCCTAATATTGATGAAAAAATACTCACTGCCTTTTCAGATTATTTCACTTAGAACATGAGAAATTATCTTGTTATAAGTGTAATAATTTGCCAATTTTCATCAATATTAAGGAATTACTTTAACCAAGTTCCTTCACCTTGCAGCAAAGTTACTTATCATTTAGTTTGCCTCATTTCAAGTTTACTAAGATATGTTCATTAGAAATCAGAATGAAGATTTTATGTTTCTGCAGTGAGTTTAATTTTGAAAATAAATTATATTAAGATAGAATCCCCTTAATAAAATACTGGAACAAAATATGAGAAGTTTAAGGCGCGAAAAGACTTTTTCAAGGTGGTGCATGTGTTTTATCATGAACAATCAGCTGCAAAAGTGCCTGCAGTGTCCCGCATGTTGATAGAGTAGATTCTCTAATGAAAGCTTGAGGGTTAAATAAGAAGAAATTAATGAAGGAGTTGAGAACTGGCTTGCTGCCTGTGCATCTGTCTTTAAAATGGATAGCAAGGTAATTGCTTAGATGCTGCAGGGGGATCCAGACTGTTGGGAGCTCCTGCATCGTTATCCTGCAGCGCCTGTAGCCGCCTAAAGGGGGCAATGCAGCACCAGTAATCTGATTTCTGGGAATATCTGGACACCAACAGGAGACTTGCCAGTCATCTGCACTAAATGGCATCTTTCAGTTTATTTCTAAGGTCAGCCAAGCTTCTGACTGATGCCTTTTGACAATAAAAGTAAGAAAGTGTTGGTCAGCGGAAGCACAATCCACGTTGCTCTGCAAAGTATAGAAAGCCGGCTTTAGCTAAAGCACCAAAGCTTTATCTGATTGTGAAGCTTGTGTTATGTTTCTTTAAATAACTAGAGATGACTCATATGATGAGTTGATTTTTACCAAGATCTTGGAGAGGCAGGAACAGTTGAAGTTGTAACAAACAAACAAATTCAGCTCAGACACAAGCTGTCTATCAGTTTTAATATCATCTTAATGCATCTTGAAGTCAAATTGGGAAGTAATTATTAAGAAAATGCAGTTTGTCGTTCATTAAATGTCTTTATTAGAAAACTTTTAACCAAGACTAGAAGATGACTTCCTGATTTTGTATTGATGAAACAATGCAAATGTAAGATATATGACCTAACAATTTGAAATTAGCTGGTAAAAGGTCTATAATAATTACTTAAGGTTAACCATTCCTAAATCATTGCTAGAAAAATAAAGACGCTTCCCACTTTAACCGCAGATTAAGAAAAATACAGAAAATAGTAGCGTTTCCTCCTTTTTCTTTGCAGCAACCTATAACTACAAAAGTTAATTGAATTCACAAAAAATTTTGTGTTTATGGCACAGTTTCACCACCTTGAAATCTTCATTTCACTTTTCTGAGCTGAATGATTGAAAAATAAAAACAATTGGGTAAAAATAGCTTTGGTAGAATGTCAAAGGTGTCTGTGATATTCTACTTATCTTAGTCTTAAATTAAGAATTTGGCAGATTGTAAATGAGTCTGAAATTTAATGTGACATTAAAGTTCAGCATGAGTTTATTACCACCTCAAAGCTTTATGTTTAAAGAAGTTTATGGGTGACCTGTTGTGAGCCAGAATATTATATAACTGATTCAGTTTCTTCATTTAGGCTTTGACTTTGAGGTGATTAACTCCTGACACCAATCTTGATCTGGGTCTAGTATATTTTTATCCAACTTTAATGAGGGCACTCAGTCCCTGATTGCCCTTCTTCAGACTGTCACTGCAACATTTTTCAGGAAACTCATATTTCTACATACTGGCTGAAGAGATAATACACAAATCAGCTTTTTATTGCTGTATTTAACACATATTCTCGTGTGAGATCTTGTGTTTTAAGCCATCATATCTATTTTCTCACTTGATGCATCACTTTAAGGTCGCCTTATTTACCTTAAAGTGACGAGATCTTTTATTATAAATAGTTTTAGTTTGCAAAACTTTTCATGTTTGAAGGTCTTAGAAATATTAGGGCTTTTTATTGTCTTCACCAACTCCTCTTAGGA